TATCATGAGGGGCTACCAGGCCAGGATTACCTTACTCACTTATGAACACGATTTCTCTCAAATCACACACTATGGGATGTCATACCTAAAACTAGCTCTACCCAAAACTCCAGGTAAGCCAGTAGGGTCAAGTCCCTTGATAGGAACAATGCTACAGTACCTTACAAGGTAAGTAGCGGCTATAACCTCTAGGATTATCGGTTAATAGCCAAGTACCATATGGATTTTGTGTAATCGCTAACTCCTTCACTAAGGCGAACTCCCGCCATATGATCATACTAATAAAAAAATGCATTTTAAAAACTCATATATATAATTCATAATTTATAGTCAAGATTGTGCACATCATCATCAACATCAATCTCATTACTTATACCAAGTCACAATTAACTTGGTCACAAATCATAAGGTCTCAACAAAGCCACATGCATTACAAACAACTATTTCAAATTTAGATATATATATATATATATATAGATATTCTTTTGTTTCACCAACATAATTAATTAATTAACATACAAATGCATAAAATAGATTTCTCCCGGTTACCTCAACCTTTAAGAGGTCAAAGGTTATCCCTCAAGTTACAACACTTCCAAAGCTTTCCAAAGCTTGAATGGTGTCAAAAGAAAACTAATCTACAATTGATCATGTCCAATGTGTCAATAATATTATTAACATAATTTTCACTCATACTCTAACACCTAAGTATTTATTTTATTTTATATTTATTTATTTATTTATATTTTTTTAAGAAATTAGTCTTAGTCTCTTGAATTCTAAAATTTAATTTCATGTATTTGAACCTATCTACTTGGTTCAATAGTCTCCTTCACAATAATTTCATTCAAATATTTTTTCTAATATCAAAATTTCTCTTTTTATTCCAAAAATTCGCACATAAAAATACTCAAAAATTACAAACTTGATTTCAAGCCTAGAATCATTATTCTATAGCCATAATAATTTATTTCTCATCTCAAATAATCATCTAAATATCAAAAAATTAATTTATATTTTCAAATTTAACCAAAAATCTACCCATAGAAATCTAAGGATAAACTCAAATGCCTCAAATTCCAATTCTATCAACAAAATAATACTCTAGAATATTTATTACACTACTAACAACCTCAAAAACCATATTTATTCAACATAAATTCATCCTTCTTCTAAATTTTAAATTTTCTACCACCACAAAATCAGAAACCAAAGAGAAAGGATGACTAAGAAAAATTTTAGAATACTTACTTAGTCTTAGAATACTTAAAATCTCATCTGAAATATCCTAATATGGAGCTTCACCTTCTAAATCAGCTCTGTCGCAGGTGTCGCACTCGCCGTCTCTGTTTTCGCTCTCTGTGTCGTGCAAGAAAGAATGAAGAAAAGAGGAGAGAAATGAAAAACGTAGGAGAAGTCTGTTGGTTTTAAAATAAAGAGTGGGTCCCACAATTTTTTTAAAATTTTCCTCTTTCCTCTCTCTTCTTTTTTTATTATTATTATATATATAGATAATCATTACACGGGACGATGCCGAAAGCTTCTCTTCCTCTTCTTTCTTTTGTTTGTTTGTTTTTTTATACCTTTTCCTTTTCTTTTAATAATAATAATAATAATTTAATAGTTTTTTAATTAATTAATTAATTTTAATTTTTTTAAATTTTAAATTTTTTTTAAATTTTAATTTAGAATTATATCTTAAGTTAGATTTAATAATCATCTCCTACTAATTTGCTTACCTCTAAATATTTTTTTTTAAATTTCTATTAATCCAAATTAACTATTAAAATTTAAATTGAGATGTTACACTTTCTCCCCTCAGTTTTGCATCACTTTTAGACCGAATACTTGGCCGGTTCTCGGTTAAACCGATCGGTCCAGTCTGGGTTCTAATAACCATGTATAGAGGATTCGGCTTTAAGCGACTTACTTTTGTCAATAGAGCATGTAGAACAAAACTATCTTGGAGGCTTATTTTTGGCTCCAATAGTCTATGGACTGAGGTTCTACAAAACAAATATATGCTGAGAAAGCAAGACTCCCTTCTACAAGCTAAGTCAAGAGACTCACAACTATGGCACTTCATTTGTCAATAGAAGGAAATTATTGATCAAGGCACAAAATGGTAGATTCGAGATGGGCATTTTATCAATTTCTTCACTGAAATTTTGGCTAATTCCAAGAAATCGCATTAAGGACTTATGTTTTCAACCACTCACAACACAAGAAGGGCAAAGATTGGGTTGCCTTTGGTTCTTGGGATTTCAGAATCCAACATAATTCCTAGCAATGTCATGCCAAAACTACTAATTGGGGAGTTCATAATTAAGAGTGCCTACTTCTCAATTGAGAAAAACCTAGACAACCTCCATAGTCATGTTTTCAAGTCCATTTGGAAATGCAAGGGAGCAAAGCAAATTAGATTCTTCTTATGGATGGTCTTCCACAACCTTCTACCAACAAATGCATGGAGAAGCTCATGGTCTCATACCTCTCCTCTTTGTTCCTAGTGCCAACAAAAGGATGAGGACATAATTCATATTTTAAGAGATTGCAACTATGCTCAAGACTTTTGATGCTTGTTCGTTGATCCAAGATACTTACATACCTTCTTCTCATGCTTTGTAAGAGATTGGATTGCTTTGAATTTGAAGAGAAATCCAGGAAACAACACTATATCCAAATGAGACCTTTTCTAGAGAGTCTCCATCTGGCACCTATCAAAATGGAGAAACAATATGATATTCTAGCCCCAATTTAAAAAGTTGCAGAACCCTTTGTTGATTATTTCTGTTGTTTGGAAATCCTTTGTTTCTAAGCCTAACTCATTACCTAGTACTAATGTTGGCTTTAGCAACACCAACCTTAGCTGGTTGCCCCCTCCTCATGGATGGTTTAAATTGAATGTTGATGGTGTAGTCTCACAAACCAGTATGAAAGCTGGCAGTGGTGGGGCCATCTGTGACAATTCTAGTCTTTGGCTTACTAGTTTTACCCAGGAATTAGGCCAATGTAACCCTTTTCACGCTGAAGCATGGGCATGCCTAAAAGGTCTTCAACTGGCACATGGCATGGGACTTAAAAAACTAGTAGTTGAATCTGACTCTTGAGACCCCTTGTCGACACTCTTTGTGACTCCAACGTACCCTCTCTGCATGGTCTTGTCATCCTGGAAAGTCGTAAGCTTCTTACTTCTCAATGGGAGATTAAATTGGAGCACATCTCAAGGAATCAAAACAAGGTTGCTGACAGACTTGCGAAGGAAGGCCTTAACGTTACTGTTCTTTTAAATAGTGTTCCTAACTATCTACAGTCTTTTGTTCAAAATGATTGTATGGATTTGTTTCCCAACTCTTTTATTAATAGCAGTTCTTGGGCTTTGACCTCTTTCTTCCCAAAAAAAAAAAAACTAAGTGGTATTTTTTTAATTTTATAGCCTTGTATCTTTGAAAACTCAATGTATTATTATTATTATTATTATTATTATTATTATTATTATTAATGGCCTCATAAATATTTTGAAAATACCTTTTTAAAATTTTTATATAATGTAACTCTATATTTTATAACTTAAATTCGAAATTACAAAATAAATAGTGGTATTGCTTGAAGTAATTAAACAAGGATTTTAAATCGATTATCTTGATGAGGTGCGGTGACGCAAGAGATTACATCACCAGCATCATGTGAATGGGTAAACACATGAAAATTTTTAAAAATAAAAAGGAATATATAATCATCAGCTCTTATAATTTTATATAATTTTATTTTAAATCCTTATAATTTTTTTTAATATTTTTAGTCCTTATAATTTTATAAAGATTGGATGGCTTTTATTTTTTAAGTCCCTATAGTTTTAATTTTTTTAGTATTTTTAATCTTTATAAGAACTGAAAACACTATAAAAAAATTATAAGGATTAAAAGTAAAATTTGATAAAATTATAAAGATTAAAGATTATATTTTTCCAAAATAAAATAACAAAACGTAATAGAAAGGATTAGATTGAAAAAATTAAATTAATTTGTTCTTATTTAGATATCAAGTCATTAATATATGTTATACAATAGAATAATTGGATAGTTAATTTGTATTTTAAAATTTAAATAACTAACATAATAATTTAAAAAACATAAAGAACCAAATCAATTAAAATTAAATTTGAGAAATTAAATTGATAATTAAAACAAACATGAAAAACTGAAAATTTAATTATCTCTAGTTTTTTTCAAAAAAAAAAAAGGTGGCTTCCAAGTTTCAGCAATGTTGTTTGGGGATACTCTGATTATTTAGAGTAAGTGCACCTTAAATTGTGATATATATTCAATAAATTATTACTCCATTTGTTTAAAAATATAAGACATTTTTTTAGGTTACATATTCAAATATATCTTTCAAAGTGAAATTAAAGAGTTATTTTTTAAAAACACACTTAATTAAGAGATGTAATTAATAAATTTTTTTAATTAAGACACCTTATTAAATATAAATAAATAAAAAAAGAGTATGTAATTTTAAAAATAAGTTACTAACTCATTGAATGTGTAATTCTATTAAAAATATCTTATAATATTGAATGAAGGGAGTTTGAATAGACAATTTTTATAGTACAACTTACTCCCTCCAATTTAATATATTAATGTTTCCTTCTGTTAATATTGATTCAAGATATAAGTAATTTAATATTTATAAAAAATATATTTTACATTCTACCTCTTATATTCATTAACATAGATTGTTGTTTTTGTGTACTTATATCTTATTTTCAACCATCATAAATTAAAACTAATCATAAGAAAAAGGAAGAAATCAATATATAATTACTTGAGACTTGAGAGTATGAATTTTAGTGGTACTTTGCTTATATTTTGGTGACGTAATCCCTTGCATCATTCCTTCCCTCCAGAAGCGGATTTGGTTTTCCCTTCGCCCCATCCCTACGCTACCCATAGCTATTTAAGAAACGAAAATCACAAACCCGGTGACCATAAAACCCTCAAACACAGATCTTCAAGTTCCCAGCAAAAGCATATACTATTGCCATGCCTTCAAATCAACAAGTGAAGCTTTTTGGGATTGTAGGAAGCCCATATGTGACGAGAGCCGAGATTGCTCTAAAACTCAAGGGAGTGGAATATGAATACATTCATGAATCACTGACCAACAAAAGTGATCTTCTTCTCAAGTACAATCCGATTCTCAAGAAGGTCCCTCTGCTTCTTCACAACCAAAAGCCAATCTGTGAGTCACTTGTGATTGTCGAATATATCGACGAGACTTGGACAGGTTATTCTCTCTTGCCTTCTGACCCTTACCGCAGAGCCTTGGCTCGTTTCTGGTCCAAGTTCATCGATGACAAGGTAATCAACAAACATGGATTTCTCCTTTTCATATTTTTGAAAATACATAATATGCTTCTGGATATCTGGAGCTGAGTAACTGAACAAATGTTTTTATTGTCTGAGTTTAGGTCTTGCCTGCTGCATTTAAAGCAGCTTGGAATCCTGATGAGAAGGAGAGAGAGAAAGGTGGTGAAGAATTGTCGGAGGGTCTGAGGATTCTGGAAAATGAACTGAAAGGAGAGTTCTTCAGTGGAGATTCAATTGGATTTGTGGACATTGCAGGATTGTTCTTGGCTTTCTGGCTGCCTTTGATTGAAGAAGCTGGAGGGCTTGAGTTGTCAAGTGAGAAATTTCCAAAGCTGAAGAAATGGAGTCATCTAGTTCTGAATCATCCAGTTGTAAAAGAAGCTTTGCCTCCGAAAGATTATCTTCTTGCTTACTACAAAACTCGCTTTCAGTGCATCGGTGCTTCCAAATAGACGAATGGATTGATCTTTGGGTTAATTCTTGCATGTTGTAATCTCATGTTTCACGCCACAATAAAAATATGTATCATAATTGAGGATTTATTTTGCACTCAAATTTCAATCATGCCTTTAGTTTATGAAAACATATGCGTCTGCTTTCATTTTCATTATTTTTGTTAGTTTATTTAAATATGAATAAAGTTAAGTTTCACATTGAATAAAATTACATTAAATAATATAATATAAAATAAAATAAAATATTTATAAATTCTAGCGTAATTAAGATGTGGTGTCTTATATCTTTTTCTTCCCTTTATTTTTGGATGGTCATTCACATTTCTAATGATTTTATTTATATTTTTAAACTTTCAATACTTAAAAAATAAATCTATGTTCAGTTAAAACTTTGTTAATAGATTGGGTAAAAAGAGGGACCTTGGATCACCCCCTTTCACAGTGCACATGATATAATAAGATTTATATAGTGATAACCATTAAAATATTGTCTTTATTTTAAATTACACACATACTAAAATAAAAAGCATTAAGAATATAGAACTAGATCTAAAGTGTCCAAGTTAAATGAAATTTGGACTAATTCATACCCTCGGCGATGGAATTTAAGCTGCATTATTCGAAAATTTCAAAGGGAAGAAATTGGGAACGCCATTTAGAATAATCACGCCACACGACCAACAAGGAGATGAGATCAAATACAAGAAAAGAAGAACATTCAAAGTAGCAGCTCCGTCCCAATTTGATGAATGATAATGTCTCTACTTCTTGCTGCTGCTGCTCAAATCCTTCACAATAGTCACAGGGCAAGAAGCGTGTGTCATCACAAAGTTGCTCACGCTTCCCAGTATGATCCTGTTCTCTCCCAAGATTAACATTACATTTCATCCATCCAACACATATCCGAGTAATTTAACATATATTGTAACGTGATCTAAAGAGTAAAAACAGGGGATCGGAAAATTTCTGACCTTTTGATTGTGCTAAGACCTCTGCTTCCTACAACCAGAGAGTCCAGCTTCAGATCTTCGATCGCGTCCAAAAGTTTCTCCCTCGCATCACCCCAATACAATTTCGTCACAATATTCACCTGCACCATCATTTCAGTTTCACTCACAACTTGAACTTAATCTTCCAGAAATCAGACGGAAAACAGAGAGTGAACTTATTTTTGCAGATATCACAAAGAGAGAGAGAGAGAGAGAGAGAGAGAGAGAGAGAGAACCTCTTTCTGCCTGGAAGCAGTATCGAGCAAATCAAGAACTTCGATGTCGATTGAAACATCGTACTTGTTCATGACCTCTGGCTCTCTGAACTGTGTCAGTGGGATCAGAGCTGCAAGCGAATCGGATGGAATGCGGAACAACAGAGCATGAAGCAGGGAGGGTCGAAAAACGAGATCAGATGGCGATTCATAGATATCAAAGAGGGGAAGAGGAAAACTTACGAGAACCGGATTTGGCCCAGAGAGTTTTGTGAGAGTCGTCGAGAGAGTTGGGGCTGACATGGATGATGTAAAAGGTGTCGCCTTTATCAGCCAAATTTTCAAGGGACCATTTCAGAGCATTCTTGCTGCCTCCCGAGAAGTCCATAGCCACACCAACTTTCCGATCCTTTCCCATCGTTGCTTTCTCTCTTGCGCCTCGGTGCTCTTGTCTGTTTCTTATAAGAAGAGGTGAAGCAGAAAGCTAACGCGGGATTTGGATTTACCTTGACGCTATCTCAGGTTAGTTTTTTTATCCTTGTGCCAGGCGACAACTCAAATGAAACGTAAACGAAATTGTCTCCCACTGAATTTGTTGTTCTACGTAAACTAAACTGGTCGCTTATACTATCGGTTCTCCTTGTGAGTTACCTTTAACTGGCCAAAATTATAGAGATGAAGTAACTTATTATTTTGTTTAAAAATATTTTTAAATAATTTCTCATTTTACTTTTGTTTAAATAAATAATTTTTAAATTTATATTACATACTATCTCATAGTTAATGAATTTAAATAAAGATAATATTTAAAAAATATATCATGTAATGGAATAAGGGTTATTTTTATTTTTAAACTATATACAAAAAATCACAAATTTTTTTAAACTCAATTATGAATTAACACTATCATTCAATTTTAAAAATTCTCTTTGTCGTCTCCTTGCCATTTTCTTATTGTTGGTAGGCCTCACTTTATATTTTTTATTATAAAATATTTGAGTTGAGGGTTAAAAATAATCATTCGAATAAAAGTTAAGGAGCAAAAATGACTTTTAACTTAATAAAAAATATTAAAAAATAATGGGATCCATTGACAACTAACGAATATTAAATGTTTTTAATATTAAAATGATAACAGAGAGAATCATTAAAATTGAGGGATATAATCGACCCATAGTTAAATTTAAGGACATTTGTGACCTTTCACGTACAATTTAAAAATAAAGATGATATTTAATTCTTATTTAATATCCTACAAATGTTTCATGTTCAAGTATCTCATGTGAAAGACTAAAAAATCTTTTTAGAAAATCACATATAATTGAGTAGATGGAGGAGTATTTGAGCGTTGTCAAATTTAATCTAAGGATGGGGTCGAATTATAAGATGGGAGATGAAGGAAATGAGGCTGGAAAGTCTGTCATGCCCCTACCCCCACTGCACCATCCATGCACGAGTTCCACGCTCTTGTTGAAAGGCACTCCTTTTATTTCAAATTACAAAATAAGTTAAGATAAGATTACACATGTTAATAAAATACAACAATCATAATTTATTAATTTATTTTTAAAAAAAAACTATAAAATTTTAAAAATATCCTTATATAATTAATCATTACATTACAATATCATTTTAATTTTTTTTACTTAAAGAATAATATTAAAAAGTATCATTAAAAAAAAGCTTAGCATTTTCAAATTGTTTTATATTTTAGAATAAAAATTCTTTTAACATTGTCTTATAATTTAAGAGAGGGAAAGCAATAAAATATTTAAGCTTTTTTTGTAATCCAATGTCGTGGTTTGAACAAAGACAATAGTTTACATCCTTTTCCAGTTATATACATCAATCTTAATATTTTCTTAGAGAAAAAAAAAAAAGTCAGGTGCACAAGGATAAGGATATGGACGGAGGAAGCATGCTAACGAGTCTTTTTTCCTACTCGTGTTAGCCTTCTTTGGAATCCACTACATCCATCTTCCCCGGTTAGTTAAACTCTATAGTTCAGCTTCTCGACAAAAACTACCCTCAAATATCTAAAGTTGATAATTTAGGTAAATTGAAATTATTCAAATCAAACTTATTTAAATCAAGCTTAAAATATTATATTTTTTTAAAAATCTACATAATAAAGCTCGACCCTAACAACTTTGAATTTATTTGAGCCGACCCTAACACCTGAAATTTTTAAAAATATTTTTTATTTTTTAAATCAATTTTATTTTTTAAATAACTTTGTTGAACATAAAATATTATTTTAAATTTAAAAAAATATTAATTAATCAATTTTGTTCTTAAGTAGCTTTGTTACTGTTTTATTGTATTATATGTAATTTATTCATAAATATTTTTTTACTTGTAAATTATTGTCTCAATTGTTTAAATACTGCTCTTATCATAATTATATATAAATATTTTATATATTTTAATTAAAATATATTATTTTAACTATAATCAAGTTGATCTCAATTTAATCACGGTTAAATCATTAATTTTAAATTATTTCTCCGACTAATTTAAAGTTTTTAATAATTTTTAGATAAATTGTATTTTTTATTTTTAAGAATGTGAAAAAATAGCCATCATTATATTATATGAAACAAAATTATTTAATTATGAGTAACATACTATTTTTTAATTATTTTTTTAACTTTTTACATTATTTAATCCTCTATATACAAGGAATATTTACTCTAGTTTATTCTTAATTTTTAATATATTTATGTAGTTATAGAGTCAAAAATTCATACATGCTTTAAATTTATTTTTAATTTAAAATTAATTATCTTATTTTATAAAAATATAAAATATAAGATATATATTTTTAGATATGCAAATAATGTATAAGACTCAAAAAAATTTAAAAAAAAATTATGTCTTAAAATATAAAAATTAATATTACAATATATTTTAAATATTATTTGAGTTACTTCATTAACTAAAAATAATAAAAAATACGAAAATATAATTATTTTTAATTTTTTAAAAAATAACTATAGCAATGCATTTAAATATATGATATTTTAATATAAAATGGCATAAAACTTAAAAAATTAATTAATCTTTATTATATTATATATTTTTTAAAAAAAATTATTTGGATATTCAAGTCAAATTTAAACCCGATCAGATTTAGCTTAAATTTTCTTGAGCTCAAATATTTAAAAAAATATTTTTTTCAGGCTCAATCTTAAATTTTGCATGTGGGTTTGAGTTTGATTTAAATTATTGATTTTATGAATATCGCATCCATATGCATTAATGCCGACTATTAATAATTATTAAAAGTTAAAAATATTTTTTTCTAAAGTCAGATGCACGGGAAGAAGTTTATTGATTGAGAAATGTCTGAATTAGAAATTAGAATGGACTCGGGAAGGTGCTACGAAGTTTCTCTCCGTACCCCGTGCTCAACTATAATGGCCTTTTGACCATTTGGAATTCCAATTAAATAGTCAAATACCATCCCTTTTTTTTAATCTCGGCAATTAAGGCAGTCTGTCACAATCCCAAAAAAAATTAAAGAGTTAAGAGATCGGGTTAAGGGCCCAGTGTCGGCCCAAAAACTCAGATTCCTTCTCACTAAATTGTAATGGGCCTGTATGTTGCTTACAATAAGCCACACTAGCCTTTCTATTATGGTGGGAAAATTAAAACCATACGGATTATATATATCAGTGCTATGAAATACTTTTTTAATTTTATTTATAAGTCATTTTTAATATGTTTTATTAAAATTAAAAAAATTTAAAACTCATTAATTTTATCTAAAAATTTGTGATAAAAATTTAATGACATCTCTCATAAATAAGACTAAGAGAATACATAGATTGACATTAATCATGTGAAGAAATCTCAATGAGTGTTTCTCCTCTGCTGCCAAAAAAATAAACAATCAGAAGAATATAAATGTATGATTGAGAGGATGAAGTTAGTGCGTTCGGAAATGGGTGACCAAATTAATAATGGAGTGAAAGCGAAGTGGATACGAAGAGAACATGAATAAATGAATGAGAGGACATTGTGTAATATTGATGGATGTTTAAGTAAGGAAGCATTTTCTGTATGCAGAGAGTGAAGGATGGGAGGATCCAAATATCCAATGAGAGATGGGGCATATGGGGTCAGTATAACATCACATTTATTCATGGGTGTGTTGTGTATCAATGATGTTCAGGGGGATTAACATTAAATTTGGCAGTGGAATTGATTCTGACATTCTTGTCCGGTGCATCTAATTTGGTCCATTTTTATTTGTTTCTGATCGCACAGAGAGAAAGAGAGAGAGATTGAGGTCCTAACAACCTTATTATCTGAATACACGCTTGTTAATTTGTGAGGCTGTCATGAGGACACGATTCCTGTCCATTGGATGCTATTCCACCTTCATTCACGAGGCCTATAATCTCTTTATCCCTTCTCAGTATTTGACCGCAACCTCCGTTGAAAGCTATTCCACAACTTGTTTCTCACATGCCCACCCCGTTAAGCCTGTCTCAAAATTAACTAGACGCTTGGCTGTCTTATTTTACAAATTCAAACTTTTAAACAACTCAGGACCTGCTTGGTTTTGACGTTCGTGTATGGACTCAATGCAAAGCAAAGCATGAATCTCAGCTAGCTAGGGATAAACGTAAACAAACAAGTATGAATGAATAGAAAAGTATAGATTCATTGTACATTAAACATAAAAAACGTGGAATTTCGTTCAAGGAATTTTGCATTCTATCCCGTGACTTCAGTTATTGAGGGGATATATGAATGAAATATATTCCTTGGAACTTTTACGCATCTTGACCACTTTGATCTGCATGCGTCAACATTACATTTTCATGTATTATCATTCTTAATTAATTATCAAACACTCAAGGACTTGCGAATGCTTGGATTGCTTTTTTTTTTAAAAAAAAAGCACTAAATTCTCCAGATGACTTTGGACTTTCCAACGTAATTTAATTCTAGTGACTAAAACACTAAGAATATTCAATGAAATAAGATAGCGATAAGTGCGAGGGAATTGAAAATTAAAAGGATGATGTTAAGTGTAATTTAGGATAAGTGCAGGGGAAGTTGGTGTAATTTAGACAAACTTATTAAAAAAAGAATCAAAAGTGGTTTATAGAGAATAATAATGAGGACAGTTTGGTTTGGTAACGAACCGGGATTCAGGGTCCCCACGTTGGGCACCCACACATTAATTAATCCACTTTCTTTCTTGATATCTGACCCTAATGCCAACACAACATGGGTTTAGGTCTTACCTTTTCTTGAAAAAACATAATTTAACATCTGTTATCCTCTGTCCTCCACCATCCATAGCCCATCACTTTCTTTGATTATCCTGTAATGTAAGTTAAATAAGCCCCCCAAATTCATCTCTGTATATATTCACCTAAAGGTATCATATATTCCCTCCATTTAATATTATAAGATAGTTTTTTAAAGTATGATATTTAAAAATATAAAATATTTTAAATTTTTTAAGACGTAATTAATAAAATTTGTCAAAAATACCGTTACTTTACTGATAAGGTTT